ATATACACATCAATAAGGCAAGCTCAGCACAGAGGGGTGATCTGACTGCTTACGTTTGCTTTTTGTGATAAGTATTAATCATAATAATAAGCATAATAAAATCTGTCATAATATTCACAATAATTTATACAATAAAACACATTCTTGCTGACAGGAATAAAGTCAAAACAGTTTGAGGTTCGACCATCTGCATACCATAAGCTCAGCTCAGTGACACTGCAGTAGACAAAACCACAACCTTCAATTAATATCAGACTACACACAAGACATTTTATATAACTCTGAGATACAGATGATTGAGGAAGCACAGCTGGATTGTAGTGGGTGAGCGGTGACCAGGTGTTTTTGAAAAAGGAGTGAACATGTGACATGTGAGTGCTACAGAAAGGCCAAACAAGATTCAGAGTTATGGCAGCATTAGATATCCAGGATCATGTGACACTGTAGCTAGCTGTCCATCCATGTTTGAGCACTGACAGCCAGTGCTGTGATGGTGGAAGCTGAACCACACCAGAGAACATATAACACGTATATGTGACCCTGGACAACAAAACCAGTCATAAGGGTCAATTTTTCAAAATTTGGATTTATACATCATCATCTGAAAGCTGAATAAATAAGCTTTCCATTGATGTATGGTTTGTTAGGATAGGACAATATTAATGTCCTCATATGAGGTCACAGGGTCTCAGGAGGATAATTCACCTTTGAAAGTCTTGGAACTCCTGTTTTACGCTCTGAGTCCTAGCTGATCTTTTGACTGACTATTATGCCAGTTTATAATGTACATCCATTCAGCCATTCATGTGGTCTACAGCAATCAATTCAATGTGAAATAAACATGCTGCAACCTGTTGCCATGGTTGCAGTTGCTAATGACTGACAGCCAGTATGACCTTTTTCTGGGCTTGGTTTATGAATCACACACAGACCCCGTATAAACTCTATTATTGTGGCTCATGCTGTGAGCAGGGGCCAGCTGTAATCTGTGATGCTTCATTTCCTGTGCTGCTGCTGCACTGACTGCAGACACAGGCCCTCCTGAACACACAAACCATCTGATGTTTAGACTAATAACATGATTAAACAATATAAATAGGCTAATACTATGCATTCGTCAAGATAACAGGCCGCGTATCTATTATCGTTTCTCAAGCTCCGGACCCAGTCATGTAATGACCGAAAGACCAGTGTATGAAGTCCTACAGCTCTACAGCCTCACATTACATGACTTCAAATCATTGAATGTAGAAAATAAAGCTATTTTAGAGAATGGAGCGACTGTTGGATTAGCCCGTGTTGTATTTTTGCGGAAATGAAGCTTGATTGTTATATTCCCTTCCCTGTCGCTTTCTTTATTGGCTCAGTAAGGAAGATCCGCGCATCCTCTCATCAGATTACACACAAACTCTGTCTACAAAACAGTCATGAACCATCGGAAACTACTCGGAGGGGAGACACTGAGTTCTTATCAGCGCGCTTTTAATAGGGACTATATTGACATGGCGCGTGCGTAATCTCGCCCTTTCCCTTCAGAAACGCTACTAAAACACTTACCGAATTTTCGATCTGCCGCGAGGGCGAGACTGGCCCGAAGCGCGAGGATTGTGAGAAAAAGGTGAAACGATTCCATCCTTCCGATCACGCGTCCATCTCATCTGCTCGTTATTAATCCATTCCAACAGTGTATTTCCTTCTTTCCGCGAGGTCTTAGTTGATGGAGGATAGATGGAGACGGTATGGAGATAGAGGGAGAAACGGGAAAGAGAGTGAAAAAAAGAGAGGAGACGTCAAGCTTACGCAAAACCTGCCAGCGCTCACCGCAGTCCGCGCGCCGCTAGAATCAGCACTGAACAGCAACCCGCCTCTGACTCTGAAATATTAATATATATAGGTAGTTGCCCAGGTAACATGTTTAATTTAGTTTAACCTCATATACCAAAATGACTCTGAAATATATATAGGTAGTTGCCGAGATAACATGTTTCATTTAGTTTAACCTCATATACCAAAATAACTAAAACTAAAATAAAATATTATAAAAACTATATAGACATATTTTGAAAAAAAATAAGACAAAAGCACACAACGTAATTACTAACATTTTAAGTGAATTCAAAACAGAAAACTAAATCATAATATAAATTATAATTGATATTACCAAGTTATTTCAGATCAATAATTAAAATGCAATCTGTTCCAAAATTTGTGCTTTAAATATGACATCAACACAAAAAATGATTTTCCACCTATTTCAAACTATTTACTGGTATAGAATAAATTGTTTATTGAAAAGAAAACATTATCGAATACAGAGACTTTACAATCTTATATCTGATGTCAAATACCCTCTAAGGTAAGTATATTATTGGTCATAAGGCACAGGAAATTA